TATTCTGAAATAGATGGGTGGCCTTGAGCAGGACTGAGTTTCTCATTAATGGGGGTCTTTAAGCAGAGACTGGATGACCCTTTACGGAGGACATTGTTGTAGAATTTCTGCTCCAGTCCATATTGGGTTTGATGTCCTCTTCTGAGGTTCTTATCATTCTGGGCCTTACCCATGGTCACCAAGTCCTGGAACAGTGTAGAAGAGATTCTGGGCCAGGCCTCTCAAATACCCTTTCCACAACACTGTGTCATCTCTAAAATGAAAGTGACTCATATCTTTCCCTGCCCCTTCCTAGCCTCAAGAGAAATGTCCTGTCCTTGAGTACCTGACCAAACAAAGTCTGGCGGGGCATCTCTTCCCTCCACTGCCCAGCATGTGCCAATATAGAGCAGACCCTTCTCTTCACAATATGAGAAAGTGTGAGGTCTGAAAAAGCTTTGAAGAGAGGAGAAGGAGGAGGGGGAGGAGCTAAGATTGCAAAGGAGAACGTCTGCAGGGGAATAATTCCCAAAGGCAAGGCTGTAAAAGAGAATAATCTTCCATCATCAGCAGGGAAGGGATGGCGTAAAAGAGCATGTAAGAGACATAGAAAACCAGAAAGAGATGCAGAAATTGAAGGATCGGTTATCCCAGAAGGCAGAATCAGACAGTCACAGTAAAAGGGGACCTTTGTGAACATTTGTTTCAGCCTGCCACCCATCCAGGAATGTCCTCTGCTGTATCCTTGACAAATGGTCTGTCATCTAGCTTGTGGATGAGCCATAGAACCTCAGAATTGGGATGGATAGGTTTTTCCTTACTTGGAACTGAAATCGATCTCTGCAACTTCTATCTACAGGTCCTAGTTTGCCCCTCTTAGGTCAAGGAGACCAAATCTAATCCTCCTGCAATGTGACAGCCCATTGCATGCTTCTTAAGTCTTCTCTTCTCCAGGCTAAACATTCCCAGTTCTTTTAGCTTGTCTTCATGTGGCATGGTTTCCCATCTTGTCCCTACCCTGGTCACCGTCTTCTGGATGCTATTCCATTTGTCAATGTCCGTCCTCAAATGTGGTACCCAGCACTGAGCACAGTATTACCAATATACTATGACTAGGTGAAGGAGGGCCAACCCCTTGTCTTCCTCTTCCCCCCATCCCTGCCGCCTCTTTCTGGATGGGCTCCTTGGGTTAATGCAGCCTCAGACCACATTGGCCTTTTGAGGTTTCATGCCCCCTATTGTTCTTCCTGAGCTTGAGTCCTTTAAGAGCCCTAAATCATTTTCATGGGAAGTATCATCTAGTTTTCAATCCAACTGTTAGATGTCACATTTGCCCCTACCATATTTCATCATATTATCTTACATTGTTATATTGTATTAATAAATTTAATCATTAACAAAAATCTACTTTCTTTAATCTTTTAACAGTTTTAAAAAATTTATGTTATTTCAAAATATATACTTTTTTAAAATGACATCTTAAATTTAATAATTTATTGTAAACTTGTGGGATTTTTCCTGCATTGAAATTTTGATAATTCAATACTGCATCATGCAACGGTACAGTGTCGTATTGTAAACAAGTCATTACACACATATTCCTGCTGATGCATGCTGGACTTCCTGGACACTGCAAGACATGATCGACTACTAACACTTGCTTGTTAAGACCTGTTGGTGGACTTGACCACTGATTGGTTATAACTTGCATTTTGTGTGTTTATCTAGGAAGTAATATATAACCACTATGACTTTAACTCTGTTACATAACAGACGAAACATATACAAAGTTTTTCAAAATTTTCTTCTCTTCTTTCCTTATGCTTCCACAGCACCCTTATTTTTTGCACCCAAGGCTACTACTGCCCCCCTGAATCATGCCAATGCCCCCCAGGGGGGCGGTATTGCCCACTTTGGGAACCTAAGCATTAGATACTCTCTTAAGGGCTTTTTCAGATCTTATAATCTTTCCTAGGCTTGTTAAGGCAGGGGGTGGTATTTGAGTTTTGACCCAAACTCACTTGATCCCCCTCCCCTCCCAGTGGGTGTACACACACACACACACAAGTCTCTAGCAGTTTAGGCTTTCTCCCAGGAAAAAAAAATGTGAGTTCCCTCCACAGACTTCGGAGTAAGGGCTTTGGGTCACTTAAAGCCAAGAGCCATAGTCTAAAGGGCATTTTTCTATAGGTTCTCCTGTCAGCTTATCTGCCATACAGTATCTAAGTTGCTTTGTGGAGGAGATGATTTTCCTGCTTTCCCATGGCGGGGTGTGAGAAGCCTTGATCAGCATTAGCCTCTTGGGGTGGCCCACAGTCCACCCAGCTCAGCCTAGATATTAATGTCTGGTAGGGGCACAGAGGGGTTGTCAGCCTCCAGGTCTATTACAAACAACTGCTGCTGTTCATCCTTTGTTTTCAAACAGGACCAACGACATCACAGGGTGGTATCTTGACTCAAAAGTGAATTGGATTTAAGTGAGGCAGAGTTACACAGAAGTCATTCAGCCTCACTCTGTCTTCCAGAGTGATCAAAGTCAAGTGGCAAGATAAAAGTCAGGACAACTGGCGATGGCCAGGAATACAGGGATACAGCCTTGTCATCTTCAATGTCTGACCAAGCTCTAAGCGCTTCACAGCACCTGCATCAGCCGTCTTTGTGACTGTTGAAACAAATTGTTGTTATCTGCCCATTCTCCAGGGGAAGTTTTCACATGCTTCACATATAACAACTACTATTTCACCAGTCCCATAAGTGCTCTACTCACAACCACCTTGGGAGGTTGATAGTGCAAGAATTACTATCCCCCTTTTACAGATGAGGAAACTGAGGCTCAGTGAGTGGAGAAGACTCGCCCCAGGATCATAAAGCTAGTATGCTTCAGAGCTGGTATTCCAACCCAGGTCTCTTGACTCCAGACAGTATTCTTGTGGGATCCAAAACAATTTTCATAATAATACTAAGGCATTATTTGCCTTTTTCACCCTTATTGTCTCATGAATGTACAGTGGAATTTTCCAGATTCCATATTGCAACTAATCTTTAAGAAAATACCCCTTATTGAGTTTTAATATTATGTCAGAGAAGATACCACAAAGATCAATTATCTGAAAAGGCTATTCAAGTATTCCTCCCTTTCCCAACTGTGAGAGGCTGTATTTTCTTCATATACTTCAACCAAAACAACATATCACAACAGATTGGAGAATCCAGATAGGAGAATCCAGCTGGCTTCTCTTAGGCCACACATTCAGAAAACTTGCAAAAAATATACAAAACAATGCCACTCTTCTCCCTAAATTTTTCTTTTAGAAGATATAATTATTTTACAAAAAGTATATTATCATATAATAAGTTTGTTGTTATTCTAAATGGTTTATTAAATATTTTAAACTTTATCAGTTTTAATTTCTAGTATGGTCACTATCTACAGATATAACTCATAAAAACCAAAACTCTTTGAAGAGTTCTTGTAATTTTTAGTTTTAAGTAATTTTTAAGATTGTAAAGGAGTCCTGAGGCCAGAAAATGTGAGAACCCCTGCATTAGGCCATACTACCTTTCTTTCATTCTAGGACAACTCACCTAGAAATTTCTTAAAACAATTTTTGTGAAAAAGTTCTCTCACCTCCTCCTGGTAACGACCCTGTGGGGCAATGCCAGCAGAGCCCAAGTCCTGTCAGGTCCCACCAACACACTGGGTAAATGTTATCTGGTACATAAAGTGCAACTAAATAAATCTGAACTAACTCTGAGTGGAAGAACCCAGGACCTGGAGGCAGAATGCCTCGTCTTAAACTTGTCTCTGCCACTGTCTTGCTGTGTGACTTTAGAGAAGTCATTTCCCTTCTTTTAGTCTAGTGGGAAACATAAGATGGGGACACAGATAACTATAGTACAAAATGGAACCTGCTGTGTGTAAGAGATGTGTAAACCAAATGTGTTAAGATCCAAGGAGACAGATATAACTTCTAGCAGGAAGGGTCAGGAGTCATGGAGGAAGTGATACCTGAGCTTAGCCCTGAACAATGGCAGATAAGAGCCAGCAGAGTGTTCCATTCACAGGGAATAGACAACATGAGCAATGGCACCATGATAGGAAAGGAGTCTGGGAGAGGGCATTGGGTTTCCCCTCCCCCCTTCTCCATAGAGGGAAATTCTCTAGGGTAGTCTCTGAAGAGCCTATTTGAAGAGCAGGCCTGCTCTTCTCCAGAGGAAAAGACACGGTTTCCTCTCTATCTCCCATCCCAAGTGACCCCTATATGAACCCGACCTGAGCAAGTAATGGTTCAGGTATCTGTCTTTCAGCCCCGCCCCCACCCCCTACTTCTAATATCTCAGACTGCTGCATGGACTGGCTGAGGTCTGGTTTGCTCAGAGGGAAAGGGAGAAAGGAAGAGACAGATACAGAGATAGACGGTGAAAAGGACTGGGGGAAGGGGGATAAGGAAAGGGTAAGAGAGCAAAAGGGAGAGAAAAGGAAAAAAGAGGAGAAGGGAAGGAGGAAAGGGGAACAAGATAAAGATTAGAGAAGGGAGAAGAGTGGGAAAGGGAAGGAAAAGGGAGAGAAATATAAAAGGCAGGAAAAGAGGAGGAAGGAAGGAAAAGGGGGAGAGGACAAGAAGGAAGGAGAGAGAGGAAGGGAAAGGGTAGAAAAGCTGCAGGAGAGAGGGAGCGAAAGAGGAGGAGGAAGGAGGGTGGGAAGAGAAGAGAGGGAGATAGAAAAGAAGGGAGGAAAGAGAGAATAAGGGGAGAAAGACTGAGACAAGAGAAAGGGGGCAGGGGGAAGAGAGAAACCGAGACTAAGAGAGGGAGGGAGTGAGGAGAGAGAAGGCGAAAGAGGCTTAAGGAAGGGGAGAAGAGAGGAAAAGCGGAGAGAGCCAGAAGGAAGGGAGGGGGAAGAGAGGGAAAGAGGGAGAGAGCGAGAGAGCGAGAGCGAGAGCGAGAGCGAGAGAGAGAGAGAGAGAGAGAGAGAGAGAGAGAGAGAAGGAGGGAGGGATGCAGGGAGGGAGGGAGGGGAGCTGAGCAGAGCGGGCGGCGAGACTGCAGCGCAGCCGGAGCCAGAGAAGCAGGAGCTAGAGGAGCAGGAGCCAGGGAGCAGGGACCTGAGCGGGGCCCTGGACGATGCGCTAGCCGAGCCCGAGCCGCTGGAGCCGGAGCCACCCCGGGGAAGCCGCACGAGCCGAGTCCCGGCCAGAGGTGAGGGCCGGGGTGGGGGCCGGGGCGGGTCTGCGGCCGGCAGGTGCTGCGGCGGTGGGGCGGGGACGGAGGCTGCGGGCGGCCAGGGGGGCTGGGCTGCGGGGGAGGGGGCAGCTGCGGCAGAGGAGGGGGGCCGAGGCCGGGCTTCACTCACCCGCGGCCACCCACGCCCAGCCCAGAGCTTCGGCGGCCGCAGCAAGGATCCCTGATGGAAGGCTTGGCATGGCCAGGGCCTCTTGGGTCCCCCTTGGATCCCGACGCAGGGTCCCCCCATCCCTCGTCTGCCGATTCAGCACTGGGGATGTCTGGGGGAGGGAGAAGGGGGAGGGCCTGGCGGGTCCTGAGGCTGGGGTTGAGGTTCCCCTCCCTGCCCCGCCCCGCTCACGGGAGTGGGGTGGGAATAGGGAACTGGTTGGGGGGTGCACCCTGGGGGACCTGGGGGACGCCTTCCCTTTGGGAAGCTGGCCTGCTTATACCCGCAGTTCCCTGCTCTACCTCCCCCATCCCCCATGAGGCTGAAGGTGGCACTTTCTGTCTGGGTCTCTAGGGCCATGGGGGTGGGGGTGGAGGGGAGTGTTGCCTCTTTCACCAACCCCCCCCCCTTAATATCCACTCAGGATCTCTCCCAGCTTAGCCCCTTGGCCCACGTAGTCTAAACCTCCTCCCCTTCCCCCATTCATTACGGCATCCTAGGGCAGCTGGCCAAAAGGGAAACTGAGGACCAAGCAATTTGGCCAAGGTCATACAGCTATTTAATGGAGAGATGGAATTTGGACATGTTGAGGATCAGTTCCCCCTTGATTTCTGATCCCCCTCCCAGGAAAGGTGTTCATTCTTTCTGATATCTGCCCTTGATCCTGAGAGGAGGGCAGGGGGCCTTCCCAGACCTTCTTAATCTTTTTCTCAGTTCTCACTTGTCCAGGATGCCTTAACTCTGGGCCTGACTAGAGGTAAAGGGAATGGAGAAAATAATCTCTCCCAGACTCTTCCATTTCAAGGTCCTTGTCACTGAGAGTCCAATGGGACAGAAGCTCAAACCTCAGGGATTCACTGTCTTCATATAGATGGGGAAGGGATGGAGCCAAAACTAAGGGGCAGGCAAGATAGGCAACTGCCAGGAGCACATCACTCAAGTGGGGTGATTTTTTATAAGCATATGAAATCTAAAAGTTGTCTTACTTGGCCTCAGAAGGCAGAATTAGGACTGATGGAAGGTAGTTACAAAGGCGGATTTAGGTTGGATGTAAAGAATTAACTTACTAACCATGGGAGCTGTCCAAATGTGGATGTGGCTGTTTCATGAGGTAGCTTGGCCTCTATCAGTGGAGATCTTCTAAGGACTACATAAAGATTTAGAGCTACAAGGGACTGTAGAGATCACATAGGCCAGGGGTTCTTTGCTTTTTGTGTCCTGGACCCCTTTGGCAGTCTGGCGATGTCTATGGACCTTTTTTTCAGAATAATGTTTTTAAATACATGAAATAAAATACATGCAATTACAGAGGAAACCAGTAATATTGAAATTGCTATCAAATTTTTTTTAATTCATAAACTCCCTGAAACCTAACTCCTTCTTTGGAGGTGGGGGGAATGTATGGTTTGTCATTAAAAGCCCCTGATCTAGTATATTTTTAAGGTGAGAAAACAAGCCATGAGAAGGGGACTGACTTGCCCAAGGTCACACAGGTAGTAAGGGATCATCAGGTCTTCTGACAAAATCCAGCCCATTGGTCTCTCCGTAGCCCTCCACTGCTACGGAGTAGAGACTGCATGACCAGGTGTCAGTAATATTATAGAATGGATTCTTTATCAGTTACAGGTTAGATTAGATGCCTCCTGAAGTCCCATCTAGTGTTGAACTTCTATGATTCTACCATGTTGATATCAGTGAATCCAGCTCTCCTTTGGATCTAAAAGATCAAAGCTCCCAGTGGCCAGTGACCAAAGGGAAATGGTCCAACCTTGTTCAGGGCTCACTAATGGCAGTGTTGGAGACAGGTCTGGAGTAGCTGCACAGTCAGCAAGTTCCTAAGTCTAGTTTGGATGACCCAGTCTCTGCTTGAACAATTCCAGTGATCGGGATCTCATTCTTTCAGGAGATATTCCATTCTAATAGCGGACACCTCCAACTGAAGATGACTTTCAATCAAAAGCTAGATTGCCACCTGTTAAGGAAGCTGTGGTGCCCTGGGCAAAAGGCTGGACTGGATGACTGCTGAGGCCCTTCTAGCTTAGAGAAATTTCATGATATTGCCCTGACCAGGCAACCCTACCTGGGTGCATAAGAGAATAACAGTAATCATAGCTCACATTCCTCTAAAACTGTATTACAGCCTACAAAGCATTTCCATGGCATTTGATGCTCACAACAACCCTAAGAGATCTGCAATGTGAGTATTATGATTTCCATCTTAACAGATGATGAAAGCAAGACTCAGAAAGGTTAAGGAAACCCAGCAAGCTAGTGGCATAGCCAGGCCTCAACCCCAGGTCTTCCAACAATACCAGGTTTGATCCACTACAGAATCACAGAGTGAGATCTGGAGGGAATCTCCAAAGCCTTCTAACCCAGCCTGTACCTGAATAGGAATCCTCGCTACACTGCGCCTGCGAAGTGGTTGATCCAGCCTGCCTTCTGTCTCCATCTCTGGGGGTCTTGACCTCTTTCTCTTACTCCCTGTTTCTGCATGTCTATCCCTGTATGTCTGCACTGGTTTGTTTTTCCTCTGCATCTCTCTTTCCCTATGTCCCTGTGTGTCTCTGCCACAACTTCCCACTCTTGATCTTCATTCAGCCTTTTAGGACAGCAAAGGAGAGCTAATCTAAGCCCTTTTCTCAATGACAACCCTTCAAAGACTTGAAGACAGCAATCTTGGTGCCTCTTGGCCTCCAAGGTTTTTTTTTTCTCTATGCTAAATACATGAGATAATATTAGTAAAGCACTTAGCATAGTGCCTTGCACACAGCAGGTGCTTAATAAATGCTTGTTCCCTTCCCCCTGCCCTTCCCTAAACATCCCTAGTTCCTTCAATGTATCATCTTATCATATGATTTCAAGGCCTTTAATTATCCTGGTCACTTCACTCTGGGAATGTTCTACCTTATCTGTGGGCCTTCCACAAATATGGTACCCAGAGTGGAACACAATACTCCAAATGAGGCATGATCAGGACAGAGGACAGAGGGACTATCATTTCCCATATTCTGGACATTTGCTTTCCATACAACCTGAAATCTCATCAGCTTTTTTTTTTTCAGCTGTCCTATCACAGTGGTGACTCATAGTGCTGGTAGTTCATTGAAGCCCTCATATCCATTTCTAGATCAGCCACTCTCTAGCCATGCCTTCCCTTTCTTGCATTTGTGAAATTGATTTTTTGAACCCAAATGTAAGACTTAATTTCCCTCTCACTGAATGTTGTCTTATTAGATTCAATCCAATGCCCTAGGCATTGAGATTTTTTTTTCATCCTATATGTTTGCTAGCCGTCCTAGATTTGTGTCATGTGTAAATTTGATAAGCAGCCACGCCACCTGTATCTTTATCCAAGTAATTGCTAAAAATGTTAAACATGGCATCACCAAACACAGAACCCGGGGTTGGGGGGGATTCTATTAGAGACCTCCTTCCATGCTGATACTAAACTATAGAGCCCAGACCTCCAACCTGCCCAGAATACAGCTAACTTCCCTGTCATCTAGCTCACATCTCTCAATCTTTTCCACAAGAAGAGTAGGAAAGATTTTGTCAGAGGCCTTGCTAAAATCTAGGTAAATAAAACCATGTTTAAGTTTTCCCCTAATCTACCAATTTAATCAATTATGTTAAAGACTTGTTAATTACTTCAATAATTTTTTTATCCCCTTCAGAGGTAGAATTTGAACCCAAGTTCTGACTCCAAATCTAGCACTCTATCCCCTAAGCCAGGCTAACTGCCTAAATCTAGCTACTATCTGAAAGAAAGAGAGTGAGAAAGAGAAAAAGAGAAAAGAAAGGAAGAAGGAAGGAAAGAAAAAAAGAAAAGGAAGGGAAAGGAAGGAGGAAGGAAGGGAGAGAGGAAGGAAAAGAAAGAAGGAAGGAAGGAAAAAAGGCTAGTTTGACTACCTTTGATGAAGCTATTCTGGCTCTGTGTGATCATTGCTTCCTTTTCTAGTTGTTCACTAACCATCTTTCTAATAATATGTTGTAGAATTTGTTTGAAATTGAAGTTAAGGTCATTGACCTATTGTTTACAGACTTCCTTTTCTTTTTTCTCTTCTCTTCCCTCCCCTCCCTCCCCTCCCCTCCCCTCCCCTCCCCTCCCTCCCCTCCTCTCCTCTCCTCTCCTCTTCTTTCTTTTCCTTTCCTTTTCTTTTTTAATGAGAACATTTGCTCTTCTCCTGTCTTGTGGCATCTCCTTTATTCTCCAGGACCTTTCAAAGACCATTAACTGACAGAAGCTTAATAATCCTATGCATTAGTTCCTTCAGTGACCTGGGAGATAGTTCACCTGGGCTTTGTGGCTGGTACTCATTGAGAGCAGGTCAGTGCTCTTTTATTCTCTTCCTTCTTATCTTGGGGATTGACTCCCTAGTAATCATTTCTGTTCTGTCCTTTCTAGTCCAAAGACCCAACAGAGAAATGAGAAGCAAAATAAGGGTTGAAAAGCTCTATCTATTCTTCATTTTAGTTGTCATCATTCCATTCACCCAGAGCAGTACTATCACTGTTCCTCTTTTCTCTCAGGAAGCCAAGAAAACCCCCATATTGTTGGCCTGAGATTTCCTCTGAAGCCTTCGATCATTTGGAATTGTAACCCTCTCAATGCTTTTTTTTTTTTTACAGGATTATGTCATGCTTTTGTGTTCATCTCCATACTTTGCCCTTGCTTGGTTTTGCACATGACTTTTTAAAATCTAAGTTGGCTGGTGAGTTCCCTATGTTCACATTGGTCTCTTGAGACATCTTACCATTTTCTTTCTCCTTGGAGTTGTTTTTCTTTGTATCTGCAGAATTTCATTCTGAAGCCTTCCATTTTTTTTTCCTGGGCTGACTTTCACCCTGTAGAATTTTAGTCCACTATGAGATCTTAACTATATCTTTTTAAAAATCTTATTTTTTATTGTGAATTTAACAATCATCAACCAACACAAACTTATATGCCAAGAATAAGAAAAAAGATTACATCTTTTTTCTCTGAATCCTTTGAAATCTTTAAAAAAAAAGTAATTACTTTTTTAAAATTAATGAACAAAGATCTTTTTTTTCTCCCTCCCACCTCTTCTCCTTTTTGGAAAAAAAGAAAAAAAGAAAGAAAAACAAAACCCTTGTAACAAATATGCATAATTAAGAAAAACAAATTTCTGTATTGGCCGTGTCCAAGAAATGTCTCATTTTTCACCCGGAGTCTGTGGACTCTCTTTCAGGAAGTCTGTAGCATACTTCATCATCTGCCCTCTGGTATTGTGGCTGGTCACTGCACTGATCAGAGTTCTTAAGTCTTTCAGGGTTGCCTTTGTAATGTCGTTATTGTACAAATTATTCTCTTGGTTCTGCTCACTTCACTCAGCATCAGTTCATACAGTTTTTCCCAGGTTCATCTGAAACCATTCCCTTTGTTGTTTTTTATAGCTACAATAGTATTTCATTAGTTTCATGTATCATAATTTGTTCAGCCATTTCCCAATTAATGGGTGGCCTTCACCTTGGGTTCCAGTTCTTGTCATTACAAAAAGAGCTACTATAAATATCTTTGTGTATTTTATACATTTTGGAGTCTTTACCCTCTTTCTTTGATCTGTTTGGGGTTTAGGCCTAATAGTGATAAATCCTTTGAAATCTGATCTCCTCAAATCTACTGTTCCTATCACATTATTTCCTTCTTTCCTCTCCTTCTCTATCACAAATACTAAGATAGAGCTGCCATTTCCCCTCAAGACTACCATGATTTTTACCCTAAAAGCCTGGTCTTCTTATTGGTTGAAATCAACAAACATTTAAAAAAATTAAATTGTGTGTGTGTATATGTGTATATGTATATACTATGTATAGAATCTGTCTTCTCTTCCTCCCCCAATTAAGAAAGCAAGAAAAACTAAAGCCCTATTACATACACATATATTCAAGCAAAACAAATTCCCTTGCCCATGTCCAAAAAGGAATCAGCCAACAGTTGATCATTATGAATTGCAATGTACCTTTGTCTCAAACTTATCTTTCTGTTTTGTTTGACTTGTGGTGGTCCCTCTCTCTGTCCTGCCCCCTCTAGTGTTGCTATTTTAACTCCTAGTTTGGGAAGTGTGTAATAGGGATGCCAAGGAGACCAGCCTCTAGGAGAGCAAACAGTAAAGATGAGTCTCTTCCCACTGATATTGGACTCAGACGTCCTGGGCCTCTCTTTGGGTACCCCCATCTCAATTTCTCTCTGCTCCTTTGCTCCTGTGGGCTCCCACAGGAATAGCGCCAATGGTCTCAGCACTGGGGGTCCTAGTGGGTAGGGGCAGAGCAGTAGGCCAGTAGCCTGTCACAGTTTCAGGTTACTACCCCAGGCTGCTTCTCAGGCACCCTTTGCCCTAGGTTCAGGGGCAGCCCAGGTTGGCTTCTCATACTGGGTGGGGGGCCTTTGATGGGGCAAGGTAGGACATAGAGCTGGCCCTGAGCTTGGGCAGGACAAATGAAACTCTGATGGGTTGGGTTGATGCTACCTGGCTGAGGCAGACCAGTGATATGGGATTGCTCTTGGGTAGGGTAAGGTAGGGCTGCTCTTGTCCCTGAGGGTAGGATTTGGGTTTCAATACAAAGCTCCCCATTTTCCATGTATCCTCAGGGACCTCGAGCCAATCTAAATTTGGCAATCTTGACACCCTTGTTTGGATGAACTAGCCACAACTACACTGGGAACACTGTAATAGGCCTGTGGGTGATGGGGGGGGGCTGGCAAAATCTAGCCTTCAGGAAGAGGGAGGCCTGGGGACCCCTGTTTGCCAAACAACATGTAGTTATAGGACTTAGTCTGAGGCTGGGGTCAAGGCCTCAGTCTAGGGCTAGCCTTAGGGCCTCAGATTAGGTTCAGAGGCTAAGGCTGGGGCTGGGACCAGGGTTAGAGACTGAGTCCAGGACTACAGTCAGGAGGTTTGGGCTAAGATTTGGGGTTTAGTCTGAAGCAGAGATAAAGTTGCATTCTGAGGGTCCTCAGTCTAGGGCAAGGTCAGGGCTGAATCTAGAGGCAGTATTAGAGGCATAGTCTGGGGTTGGGTTCAAGCCTCAGTCTGGGGCTGGGGACAGCAGTACTGATGGAAAAAGGGCTGGAGGGGCAGCTAGGTGGCACAGTGGATAGAGCACCGGCCCTAGATTCAGGAGGACCTGAGTTCAAATCCAGCCTCAGACACATAGCACTTACTAGCTGTGTGACCCTGGGCAAGTCACTTAACCCCATTGCCTAGCCAAAAAAAAAAAAAAGGGAAAAAGGGCTAGAGAGCAGTTTCCAGGTAAGAGAGCCGTATTCACATGAGTCTTTCAGAGAGAATCACCCCACCTTGTTTTCTGATACAGCATTGACTCTAATATGGTTGCTTCTATTCAGGTTGGTGAGGGAGGAAAGGAAAAGTAGTTCTGGGATATGTTGGAGGGCATTTGTTTGGAGGCAGTCAGGGCCTTGAGGTCCATTATTATAGGTAGCAGATGTCCCTATCTCCTCTGTGTAGGTCTGTTTCTGGGTCAGAGTAGGGCTTGAGGCTCCCCAGGAAGGGCTAGGGGGCAGAGGCATTGGTGTTTCACTATCTCCCATCTTGGCCTGGCAAGTAGGAAGGTCCTAACCCCATAATGATGCCAGGGATCTTGGACCGAGCTAGCCTGGTTGTTGCCTGGTGCCAACTATTGAGAGAGAAGGTAGGGGTTGTGGGGGAGGCCAGGGGCTCCAGTAAGAGTGGACAACTTGCTCTCTTTCCCCCTCAGTCCCTCCCTAGCTCATTTGCCTTCACATAGGAGTGTACATTAGGAATAGTCCCTGTTATGTGCAAACCTTCACACCCCTATCACGTCCAAAAGTACTAGGCCTAGGGGGACTGAGCCAGAAGAATGGCGAGAGACTCTGGAAGTTAAAGCAGGGTCATTTGTAGGGGCAGCAACACTTGTCTTTCATAGCCCTGTACAAACCACACACACACACACACACACACACACACACACACACACACACACACACACCCCTTTCCACTCTACCGAGAACACCCTTACCCTGACTTTTGTTCAGATGGCTTTTGAGAAAGTCAGACCTGGCTTAGCTGTCTCTCCAGGAACCAGGGAAGTGAAGCGGGGTAGAGATAGGACCACTCTAATGCAGTTCACCAGGGTAATGAGTTCAGAGTAGAGCAGGACTCACTAGGGCCAGGAGTGGAAGGGGGAAGTTCCTGGAGGGTAGAAACAACGAGAATCATTAACCCTGGGGTGCAGGTAGTGAGCTTTATTATTGCTGGGGTATAGCCATCTGTAGTATTTTTATTCCTGGGATGTAGACAGCTATTATCACTGGGGCATAGTTGTAGTTGGCATCCTTTCCTCTAGGGTGCTCTGGAGTCAACACTTACTCCAGGAGTATAGCTGTGGTTCCTCTCATTCCCCACGGGAGGGTGTGGGAGGTGGGTGGGTGTAGCTACTGTAGTAAGCATTGTTGGAGCCAACTGTAGTGCTCCCCATAACCCTTGGGGTACAGCTGTCGTTAGCCCCAACACCCTGGGCCATAGCTATAGTTAGCCGAATACTTGTCGGTAGTCTTACCCCTACTGTCCGCCCGTCGTTAGCGGTGTTGCGCCCAGGGAGGCACTGTTGGATGGATGCTCTGACCGTAGGTTCCCCGCCACCTGGCAGGCCCCTAGAACCTCTCTCTCCCCTCTTGCGTTCTCTCCAGGAGCTCACAGCCACTGAAGAAGATGCCGGAACAGAGTAACGACTACCGGGTGGTGGTGTTTGGGGCAGGTGGTGTGGGCAAGAGCTCCCTGGTCCTCCGATTCGTCAAAGGTACTTTCCGAGACACGTACATCCCGACGATCGAGGACACGTACCGCCAGGTCATCAGCTGCGACAAGAGCGTGTGCACCCTGCAGATCACGGACACCACGGGCAGCCACCAGTTCCCGGCCATGCAGCGCCTGTCCATCTCCAAGGGCCACGCCTTCATCCTGGTCTTCTCGGTCACCAGCAAGCAGTCCTTGGAGGAGCTGCGGCCCATCTACCAGCAGATCCTGCAGATCAAGGGCAGCGTGGAGAACATCCCAGTCATGCTGGTGGGCAACAAGTGTGACGAGACCCAGCGGGAGGTGGACACCAAGGAGGGGGAGGCCCTGGCCAAGGAGTGGAAGTGCGCCTTCATGGAGACCTCCGCCAAAATGAACTACAATGTCAAGGAGCTCTTCCAAGAGCTGCTCACCCTGGAGAAACACCGCAACATGAGCCTCAGCATCGACGGGAAGCGCTCCAGCAAGCAGAAGAGGACAGACAAACTCAAGGGCAAGTGCAGCCTGATGTGAGCGGCCTGGCCCCCCGGGCCGCCCCCCTCCTCTCCGCGGGCCGCCCCTCCCCCTCACCCCGCCCCGTCCCACTCCTGGTCTTGCTCCACGCAGCTCCGTGGCCCCTCTTTTGTCTCCTCCTGTCTTCCCATCATCTCGAGTCCTTTCTCATGGATGGCCTCCTTGCGTCTTTCCTCTTTCTCTGTCTCACTGTCCTTCTCTGTCCTCATAGCAGCCCCAGAGTTGGAAGGGCACTCAGAGGTCATTGAGACCAACCTGTATCTACACATCCCTCCCAAGTCATCCAGCCCCTCCTGGGTCAGCAGCTCTCTCTGTCTCTCTTTCTCCTGTTCTCATCCCTGTTTGTGTTTCTGCATCTATTTGTTTTTCTCAGTTTCTCCTGCCCTTGGGGTGTGTGTGTGTGTGTGTGTATATGTGTGTGTGTGTGTCCATCTCTCCTGCCCCGAGTCTCTCCATAGGCCACCCATTCCTACATTTGATCACTGTGACTTGGGGGCTGAAATGCACATTGACCTCACATTTTTCTTTCTCTTTTTTGACCATTGATGGCCCCCTCCCCCTTCCCCTGCTCCATGGGCCCAGCTAAATTCCCCCTTTCAGCTGGCTCTCCTCCTCTCTGTGATACCGGGAGGCATGTGATAGGGAGGCCCAGTAGACAGGCTTTCCCTGGCCTTTGAGACAATAGGCAATAAAGATGAAGCCTCTCCAGCTGAGCTAGGCCCTAAATCTGCCCTAGGCCTCCCCCCTGCCTTCCCTCTCTGCCCCTTGTAGACATGACCAATGGCCCCAGGACTGAGGAGCTAGGCCTGGAGGCTTGTGGGTAGGAGCCAGACACTGTCTAGCAACCTAGCACAATTCTGGGTCACTGCTGTCCCTTTCTCTCACCTCATTCAGGTTGGATGGTAGTGTCCCTGCTAGCTCCTAGCCTCCTTTCCCAGGGGTCTATAGGGTTACTATAGGTATGAATGGGGGTGGCTCTGTGTACCCCAGGAAGGAGGATATGGAGTGGGTTTCTGAGGAGTGGGGGATCATCATTCCCCCCACCCCAGGAGGGTGGGGAGGTAGGAGCCATCAGCACAACCCCTCTGCCCAGCCCCCAGAACATCCCCTTGAGGGGAATGGTCTCTCTGAGGGGCTAGTCTGGGCCCCCATCTCAGAGACAGGTGTCTGCCCCAGGGGAGGGCACATTCAGTGAACTGGATTTCAGAGAGGGGGTGCTCACTTTCCCTGCCAGGGAGTTCTGACCCCTACAGGAATTGGAGAGGAGAGAACAGTGACGGAGAGGAAGACAGACAGTAATCATTGGCAGGTGCATGTGTGTGTAACAAAATCTGTGTATTCGTGCTGTTATGTGTGTGTTTGTGGCTGGAAGTATGTGTGTGGGTATGCTAGTGTATGTTTGTATATATGCATGTATATTAATATATGTGATATCTGTGTGAGTGGGCGTACAGATATGTGAGAATAAATCAGGGGAGATCTATGCATGTGTATTATTGTGTGTGTGTATGTGTGTGTGTGTGTGTGTGTGTGTGTGTGTGTGTGTGTGATGGTATCTGTGTGTCTGAGTATGTCTGCGGATAGGTGGAGGGGCAGGAAACTGTAGGGAAAGCTGATAGGTTTGGGGGTCAGAGCTGGAGCCCTGCTCCTTCCCCCACCCCCCAAAGCCAATCTGTCCCTTCAGCCCCTTGCTGCAGGCAGCATTTCACCCCCTGGCATGCAGCACCCCTGGCTGACCTTGGAAGGGACTGTGGGGTGAGGTGTGGGAAAGGTGAGCAGGTGAGCTAGGGGACTCTCTCCTCTGAGGGTGCTGGCCCCAACAGGGGCTCTGGCACCATTCCTCAGGGATCTACCCTGATAGCACAATTACCATCCCCCAGCCCAGGCCCAGGGGCTTAGAGCAGGTGGGGGAGTGGGCAGCCAGGCCCTGCCTTGCAGTGGGTATGTCCACCCACTTCTCTCCAACCAGACCCCCTCCCCACTGTGACCACCAGAGACAGAACCAAGCACCTTTTCTCCCAATTGCCCAGAGCAAACTGTCTTATCTTCTGTTCTTGCCTTCCTGCACACGCTCCTCTTCCTTTTCCACATCACTTCCTGGGCCCAATGTTGAAATCCCAGGAGAAAAAGGAAATAGATAGGCCTGTTTGGCAAATAGCTGTCCAGGCCTGGCCAGCCTAGGGAATTCAGCTGAGGGTGACCAGAGAATGTTAGAGCTGGAAGTTACTTTGAAGACCATCTGTTCCAAAACCCATATTTTACAGATTGGGAAACCGAGGCTCAGAGAGAATGAGAAAATTACTTAAAGTCACATAGCAAGTTAGGGACAGAGCTGGGAGAGAGGTAACATGTCCTTCAGGGACAGCAGCCCCATGTAGCACATGGATCCCCCTCTCTCATGTCCCTAGGCCCTTCCAAGAGCTCCAGAGGTTGGGACCAGGCCCTCCCAGGTCACACATTGGGGCCAGGGCAAGGCCAAGAGTCTGGGATAAACATAGGTTCCACTTCCCTTCCTAGGCATGTGGTCTGGGCAATTCCACCCTGCCCAGCTGCTGTGATGCTAGAATATTGTCTGGTGCTCTGGACTGAGGCCTTGGCCCCCCTCCCCCAATCCTCTGTAATGCCCCCCTCTATGTCCCAGATGATGCCCCCAAGCATGTGGACACCCCCTTCTCCAGTGCACCCCCTCTTTTTTAAGAGTCCAATGTAGCCTTCACTCTAGAACTAGTCTTCCTCCAATAAAGACATGGCTCCTGCATCTGCACTGCCTGGTACCCAGATTTTCTGGGGGGAGTTGTGGGCTATTGGGGTGGGGAGGATCGGCTTGCATGGTTCAGCATCTGGGAGGGTAAGGGGAAGTAGAAGCAAGAAAGGAGAGTGAGGAGGGTGGGAGAGGCAAGGGAAATGGTTAAGGGGATGAGGAAGGATGGGGAGGCAAGGGGGACAGATTGGTGAGGAAAACAGGGAAGTGAGGAATGAGGGGAAGTGAGAGGACAGGGATAGAAAGAGGCTCAGAGAGATGAGGAACGGGGGTGGGTGAAGGGGAGGGGGAAGGCTGAGGACAGAGAGGTTACATAGGGCTGGAGAAATGATTGGGTGGGAGGACCTTGGGGAGGAGGGCCAGAATGGAGAAGTGATGAAGCAGGGAGAGGTTAGGACAGGCGAGTTGGGGAGGGCTTGGGGGCTGGAATGAGGGATGGGCAGGTGATCTGAGGTGAGGGCCGGGCTGGTTGCTGAGGGGGTCCCTCTTCACAGCCGCGTGCCAGGGCCACGAGCCGGCTCCCCTCACGGGGCACAGATCGAAGAGTGCGTCATCAGCCTGTTGCCCTGGCAACCATCTGCTTCCCAGGCAGGCTTGTGCAGCCAAGCTGCAGCTGGGCTGGGACTGGGGAGATGAAAGGGGAGGCAGAGACACCAAGGCTTGGGTGGGGGTTGTCATGGGCCCTACCCTCAGTGGTCCCTCTCCCCTTTAAGAAACAGAAAAGGCAGGGAACCCAGGAGTCCATGCCACCCTGCTTAGGTTGAGGGATGTCAGCCACAAAGAATTGTGAGCCAGGGCATCACTGAACCAAGGAGAGACATAGAATGGGGGGGTTTGTGGGGCTTCCCCACTACAAGGAGAGGAAAGATCTCGCTTAGCCTCTCCATCTCTGTTTCTCTGTTGTCTTTCTTTCCTCCTGCCCTCTGTCTCTCCCCAAATTGTCTTCATACCTTTGTCTTTTTGTCCATAACAAGTTCAACCGCTAGGGGTCGTAGGTACCCTAGAGGGCCAGCCAGACCAGTCACCTCCTCAGGCACCTCGGACTCCTGGGGATTGTTGACTGGCCTCAATTCACACTATTCCTGATTTCCTCCCCCTCTTCCTACTTTTCGCTTCCCTTTCTCCTTTTCTTACTCTACAATTTCCTTACTTTTCTCTTCCCATCTTCCATTCTTCCCTCCTTCCTTCCCTCCTCCTTCCCTCAATCCCTTCCCTTCACTCCTTTCCTTCCTTCCTTCCTTCTTTCCTTTCTTCCTTCCTGTCTTCTTTCCTTCCCTCCCTTCTTCCTTCCTTCCTTCTTTCCCTCTTTCCTCCCTCCTCTCCTCTCTCTTTCAATAGCTCCATCTCTCTGAATGTATTCTGTGTCATAGACTCCCTAGCACCGGAAGGGACCTCAAAACCAAGAGCCAGAAGGGCCCTGTGACCAAAGAACAGCTGTACTAAAATGGACCACAGAGGTGGCCTAATCCAAGCTGAGAGTGAAGCCTTAAGAATATTAAGCAGGTGGTAGGCTTAGTGAGTGGTTAGTGGAGGGAGTCACGGATCTGAAGTCAGAGCCATAAGGGTCATCTCCCTCACAGGGTTGTTGTGAGACCCAAGAGAGACAATGTATGGAAGGCACTTTGCAAACCTCAGAGCATCATGGAAATAGCATCTGTTAATTATGACTATTGCCTAGGCTGACCTTCCACCCTGTGCAAGTCTCCTCTACAATATCCCAGACAAGGTCGTCCCAGCCTCTGCTTTTTGAACACTTCCAGTGATGGAGAACTCACTGCCTCACCAAGGAAGCTCATTCCATTGTTGGCCAGCTCAGATTTGGAGACTGAGTTGACCATGTATCCCTGGGCCTTTCCCCCAATCCAATGAAGAGGTTGTTTCAATAGCCCAGGCCAAAGGTGTGGAGGGCCTGGACTAGTGGACATGGAGAGGAGCAGAAAGCTAGAAAGAAAGAGACCTTGATGACTGATTGCACATAGAGGGTAAGGGGGAGGGAGCTGGGAGTGATTTCCAAGCCCTCAGAGATATCCTGAACATTTCCTGGGAGGAAATTCTGGGCCTCAAGGAAGAAGAGGAAGAGGTTGAGAGGAATGGAGCTTGGGGATCTTGAAGAAGGTTTGGGCATAAACCAAGAAGCTCAAGTTGTAGTTTGAAGAATTTTAGCATCCACCTGCTGCCCCCCACCCCCTATCCCAGGCAGCTGGGCCCTGGAGCCTTGTATATACAATGGGGCTGGGGTTCAAGGTGAGGGACCTGGGGGTGGCAGCAGTTGATAGAACCTGGCCACAGATGAAAATCAGAAGTCAAATCTGGGGGATCCAGGTATTCATCCCATGGCACAGTCCCCAGAGTCCTTGCTTCTGAAGGAGACAGAATCAAGAAAGATGAAACCCAAGCCCAGTCCCTTATAACAACTCTAGGAGAGGGCAAGGCAGGCATTATTTCTGCTGTCTTTTGCCTTCTTTTGAATCTCCAGTATTTAGTACAGTGCCTGGCACACCGTAAGTGCTTAATAAATGCTTATTAACTGACTGTTAGAGGGATCAATCAGCCTAAACTGGGGAAAGGACTTAGTCAAGGTCACATAGTGAGTCAGTGGCAGAGTCAGATACCCATTCAACAAATACTGATAGCTGCTGTGTCTCAGCCCTGTACCAGGTGCCATGGGAGAGGGCCAGCTTGGACAGTGTTGTAGGGGAGCCAAAACAAGGCAGACCAGGTCTCCCAGCTGCTAGTCTGGTCCACTTTTCACTAGCTTCATAAATTCAGAAGAGAAGAGCCTGGGGTCTAGAGCTCTGGTGTGCCCCTTTGGGTGCCTGATTGAACATCTCTGCTGGAGAGGAAATACAGCTTCTAACTGAAAGCACCAAAGGAGATCTTGCAGTGAGGGCAGCTGAGATCTGGCTGGGGGGTGGGGCAGAGTATAGGGCCATGTGGGAAGGTTATGGGCAGGCAGATCACACACACACACAAACACACAGAAGCAGTCTCATGTTCAATGAAACTCCACTATGGGAATAGCATGAGGCCTCGTATCTGGTGGCCTCACGATCATAAATCTAGAAAAGGAAGAGACCTCTGAAATTCAACCTTGTCATTAGCATTTTTATCTCATAAAATGAAACAACAGGGGCAGCTATGTGACACAGTGGCTAGAGCACAGCCTCAGGAAGACCCAAGTTCAAATCTAGCCTTGGACATTTACTAGCTGTGTGACTCTGGGCAAGTCACCTGTTTGCCTCAAAAAAAGAAAAAAAAGTGAAGTAATATTTGTAAAGTGCTTAGCACAGTGCCTGGCATGTAGTAGGTGCTGTATAATGCTCTCTGTTACAATAATAATTACTAGTTCACAGATGAGGAAAGAAACACCTAACAAGGTTGACCTGCCCGGGGTCATGGGAGTTAACTGTGAGATAATATATGTAAGTATCAAATGAGATATCTGTAAAGTGCACATTATTAAATGTCCGAGGCAGAATTTTAACCCAGTTCTTCTGACTCTTGAGCCAGTATTCCTCCAATGTACTATGTTTTCACCATCCCTCCCCCACATACTCTTCCTTCTCCCTACCCGCCCCCCCCAACAGACAAGATTTCTAGACTTCCGGAATTAAAGAAGATTAGAGCAGGAAGGAGCTTTAGAAGTCGAAGTTTAGAGATTATCTAGCTGAACTTTCTCATTTGACAGATGAGGAAACTGAGTCTCAGAGACAGGTCATAAAGTACACGGGTGTAAAGGCAGAGCTAGGAGGGAGAAGTCCGGCCTCCCTGCCTCCCAAGCCAGGCGACTTTCCATTAGATAGAACAAGCTGCTTTTCATTCAGACATCCTAGGCAGAGAAAGCCTTTTCTGAGGAGGGGGGTACTCGAGGCTCTCAGGCTAAAGACCGTGAGCTTCGCCCCGGGTCCCTCTAGCTGCCTTCCTCCAGGGCTCTCTTTGTGAGTAGTCAGTAGGAGAAACGCGGCCCTGAATTGGAGAGAATCTCACCCAAATCTGTTCTCCTAACAGATGGCTTTCACACTCTTCCTTTCCCCCCATCCCGACCCTTGCTCTAGGGAATGGACTCTGGGCTTAGGATCTCAAAGCACTTTATAGAGTGGTGCCGTTTAATCTGCTGGAAGTCAGGGCTGGCTACCAGCGCTTAGCACCGGGGGTGCCCAGTCGGAGGGCTCATGTTCTCCCCACAGGAGCACTAGCAGCCTTTGATGGGGATGGGAAACTGACCCTCTGCTAACAGAGGAAGTGCAGAGATCTGTAGACACTAACTGAAACCCTGTGCCATCCCAGGGATTTGGAGTAAAGGGTTGAGGGTGGAAGGCGTTGCCTTTGATGTAGGACCACGGAATAAAGAACTGGAAGGTATGTGGGGGGAAGGAGACTGGAATAAGTATTAATTAAGCACCTAAGATGTGTCAAGCACTGTGCTAAGAGTTTTAACAAATATCTCATTGGATCCTCACAACAACCTTGCAAGGCAGGTAATGTTATTATCCCCATTTTACAGTTGAGGAAACCGAGGCAGACAGCCCCAGGTCCAATGCTCTATTCGCTGCACCTTAGAGTTCTAGTTCAGCTCTCTGATTTTACAGATGAAGAAAGTGGAGCGCAGAGAGGGGAAAAGATCACAGAACTGGAAAGGGCTTTAAAACATTAGAATCTGAGCCAAGATTCAAACCTAGCTCCGCTAACTCCAAATCCGATGCCCTTCTCTCTACGTCACGTTGAGGGTGCAGAGTGCCAGGTCAGCTTCTAGAAAGTGGAAGCGGACCAGAGGTAGAATTCGAACCCATGGGCCCCTAATAGTGATTCGAACTCCCCACCTGACCCCGGTGGCACTCAAACACACTGTTCTGACGTCACGAACACACCGCACACTCCCAGCCAAAGGATTCGGGACTTCACCTCTGGGCTGCTCTCTACTCTCCGCCACCTCCTCCCCATAGCCTTGGGGCCTAGCCTCTCTCGGTCAATAACGGTTCTGAATAATAATGAATTCATTTGCATAACCCTCCCCACAAGGTTTTTCCGAGCTCACTGGTTGCCGGAGGGTCCTGTCACTCACAGCACCCGCCCTCCCCTCCCCCATTAGCTCCGCCCCCCACTCCGAACGCACCCGAACCTGTTGGCAGGTCTTCGTCCCGCCCCTTCTTTCCCTTTCTCCCGCCTCCCCGAGTTTACGCGCTGTGATTGGTCGAGAGAGCCGTCCGGTCTCCTTTCCCCTCCCCCTCCCGCGGGCGAGTTGGGCTGCGCGGCAGCGGAGGTGGAAGCCTGAGGCGGCAGCGGCGGCGGCAGCGGCCTCCCCTTCGTCCTCCTTCCCTCCTTCCCTCCTCCCGCCCGCCCAGCTCGCCTCCCGGCTGCCCTTGTGCCTCACACACCCCCCTGGCCTCCTCCGTCCCGGCGCTTGCTCCGGGAGCTGAGCCGGCCCCGCCTGAGGAGCAGCAGTGGCGGGTAAGGGCGGCTCGGGGGGACGGGACGGGACGCGGCGCCCCCGGCCCCTCATACCCCCCTGCCCGGCCCGGGCCCCGGACCAGCCTCCCCGCCCCCCCGGCGGCTGCGGCCTGCCCTAGACCCCCCGCCCCGGCAACGGGGGAGGGGCTTGGGGAGGGAAGGGGAGGGACTGGGAGGAACGGGGGAAATGGGGGAGAGGTCTGGGATTGACAAGGGGAGTGGGGGAGGGGGCAGGCACAAATGGGGGAGGGGGCTGGTATTGACAGGGGCCCTGGGAGAGGGGGGTGGGAGGAATGGCGAAGGGTTTGAGAGGAAAGGGCTGTGTCTGATGGGGAGGGGGCTGTGATTGACAGGGGAGCGGGCTGAGAGGAAAGGGCTGGAGGAATGGGGCAGGGGTTAAGAAGGGGGCTCAGGTTGATGGGGTTGAGCTGCGTTTGACGGGTGAGTGGGGTTGTGGGGAAGGGGATGGGGATTGATGGGGGAGGGGGTTGAAGGGAAGAGGTTAGGATTGACAGGAATGGGGAAATGGAAGGGAAGGGGGCTGGAGCCGGGATAGATTGAGGGGAGTGGGAGCGGGGCTGGGATTGGGGAGGGGGGGTTGGGCTGGATTGGGAGGAGTGAGATTGGCTGGGGGCACGGGGGCACGGGGGAAGGGGTAGGGATTGGTTGAGGGGAATTAGGGGTATGGGTCGGGACTGGGGGAAAGGATGGGGAGAGCTATGCTGGGCTGGGGTGGGGAAGAAGGGAATTCGGGACTTGGAACTGGGGAAGAGGGAAACGGGAAGAGGTTAATGTAGTTCAAAGAACTGGATTTGGAGTTAGAGGACCTGGGTTCAAATTCCTCCTCTGTGTGCTCTTGGATAAATCACTTAACCTCTTTCTGTATTCTTTTCCTCAGTTGTAAAATGAGGGAATTGGATCGAATGGAAGATCTTTTACTGCTCAAAATCTATGATCCTGTTATCCCTCCAGAGAGAAAGTCTCCTCCTGTTCAGGAGGCAGTTAGTAAGGTTTGGGGGGGATGGGAGTGGGAAGTTGTGGAGAGAGAAGAAAGGGTAGCTTTCTGGTGGCAGTGATTTTGGGATTTGAGAGAAGAGTGAGATACCTCCTAGGAGCACTTTCTGAGGCTGGTCGGGGTCACACATTTTGGAGGGGCACACTGAGATTTGGGTTGGCATGGGGACTTAGGTAGGAGGGGAAGAGTGTACTGATAGCTGAATTTAGAACTAATTTTGGGTTTAGGAGGGTGACATTGAAGTGGGTGTTTCTGGGATGATGATCTTGAAGGATGTAGGTAGCACTTCTCCCCCCCCCCCAGTGGGTGGCTGAGATCTGAGGGGTAAGGATAAAGAGGAACGATTAATAGAGGTGAGAGTCCTTTGGGTTAGTGTCATTAGCTTGTTCGATGGGCTGCAAAGGTGGGGATCTGATGTTCAAAAATGCAATTAGCTCCTGTTGAAAAGGAGGGGGGGATCCTTTCAGGTCTTATGTCTCAGAGTCTGTTTCTGGATTCCACATATAATGGGTGGGATTTGGGGTGTCTTGGAGAATTGATTGGGAGGAGGGGAAGAGAGGGTGTTTGGATCTGCTAGGCATGTGCCCAGGAGATAAGATCTTTAAAACAGGATCTTATAAGAAAACAACTCAGAACTGTTTTTTTTTAGCATTCAATTAAAGACACCCCTCCTTGCCAGTGCTCCCCTTAAACATTTGTATCTGAGAAAGTTTAATCACTGACCATAGTTTTTAGTGAAAGGAAAACTCTTATTGCGCTTGGAAAATTTGCCAACTGTAATTTTCCTAGGTTGTGTGTAAATGCTTTAATGCTAACATTAAATCTAGGATTAGATATTCATTCATACTAAATATTTACTAACTAGATTTTAAACTGGAATTTGACTTTTCTGAAGGACCTTCGGGGACCTTCGGGTATTTGGGTAACTCTTATTTTTGTATAAAATGTTTACTTTTTAAATATTCTTGAGAGTGATGCTCCTCTTGATGAAGGCTAAAGCAACAGTAACTTTATTTTCATTGCGGTCTGATAAATACCACATTCTGGGAAGGGGTGAGGTGTGGGAGCTGTCATTTGTAGGAAAGACTACTCAATATGAATTCTCTTGGTATGTGGAACAAACTTTTCTTTTTTTTTAAGCTACATTTTATAGTAGTATAAAAATGTTTGTTGGCTTAAGGTGTTTTTAGTTTTATCGTTCACATCTGGAACCATGTGATGATGTTTCAAATTCTCTGTTTACTATGCCAGTGGTGGTATATTGAGTCTCTGTAATTCCCACATCAAACAAGTTGCTAGAACAGCCTTTCTCTGGCCTACGGCTGTAGCTTCTCACCTCTGAAGCAGAGTGGAGGCCTGGGAGTCTGCGGGTACACTCTGCCGTTTGGGGTGGTTTTCCTGTGGATTTGTTTTTGCTTTGGTTTTGTACCCTCTGCCAGGCCAGGCAGTGGTTCACGGGAGAGTTGCAAGATAGATTTTATGCAAATGTCTTTTTTTTTTTTTTTGGTCCCCCATGCTATGTCCCTTGCCTGTCATACCTTCACCAATGATGGTAATGTGGTGAGGGATTGATTGCCCAAAGTGGAACTTTGGGCTCGAGGAGGTTCGTTGTGCAGTTGCTACACATTTGAGTCCTCTCTAATGGCCAGCTTTTGAAATCTTGTCTCTTCAGTAACCTCAGGAAGTGTCCCTCAAGATAACACTTCAGTTTTACATTTTTTCAACCTTTCCCAAGTTCTCTATGTTACCCTCAGTGCTTTCTGTTGAGTCTAGAAAAGATTTTTTTTAAGACTGCAAGATGCTGAAGTCCTTATTTTTACTTCTGAGGAGACAGTCCCCTCTTCACTAAGGCTTTGAGCATCTCACTACATTTTGTTCTTTTAAGTGTTTTGGAGCATCTAGGAAAATGATGTTGAAAGTCTTTTCCATTAGCACCATGTTGAGGTTGGTTAGCCTGGGTACTCTCTCATTCCCTGGGCTCAGCTGACATGGTGGATTTGAAGTGTTGGTTATAAATGAAGTTGGATGTTGTGGGGAATTTGGTTAATAATCTTTTGGGGAGGTAAAATTTGCTCTTTTCTAAAACAAACAGATTAGTACTTGCCTACCTTCTGAAGTTCATGTTTTTGCTTTTGGAACGTTTGTCTCATAGCATCTTAATATCCAGAAATACAGAGCACTGTGAAACACTCAGCTCTAATGAAAATCAGAGCATTTGGTAGGAGTTCCAGGTGAACCAGACCCTTGTAATTTGAAGAAATAGGCTGACAGAAATCACTGCCTTTTATAACCTTTTTGAGGTGGCTGGTGAAATTTAAAAGAATCACCTCTCAGCATATCTGTGTGTCCCTCTGCCCATCCATCTATCCAGCTGTCTCCTCTCTCCTCTCCTTTCCTTTCCTCCTCTTATCTCTCTCTCTTTTTCTCCCTTCCTCCCTCCCTCCACATATATTTGTGTGTGTGTGTGTGTGTGTGTATGTGTTTATTCATCGTCTGTCTCCTGGATATATATGTTTTTCTTTGTCTTTTCACAGTAAGTAGAAATGGTATCCAGGCTTTGGGGATGTCCTGAAACCTTACCATATGCATGACCTCTGAGAATTTCTGGCACCAGTTGTTTTGTAGCCTGCAAACCCTCCTTCTCTGATGTTTACCATTTGTTAGTTCTTTTGACCTCTGTTGCCAAGGCGATGTGCTGTGTTCTCTTCCTTCTTATGAAACTCCCTAATTTAATGTACAAAATGTCAGGAGAAATTAAAGAAGGAGGTGAGCGCAGGCAAATGAAAATGAGAGTAACATTTCAGTAAAGAGTGCAGAGTCAGATGAGGCCAGGATGTAAGTTGACTTGGTACAATAACCAAGCATTATGGAGAGGTCCTATGTTTACCCCTTTCCTCCACTGATTTCCTAAAGGCTGCAAAATCATCACCTGTACGTGGTGAAATTCAAACTGTCTTTTTGGGTTGTCCTAGGGTAATGGTTGTAATACCTTCATGGGTTTGTTCATCGCCAAGACAGCTTCAGCCTCCTGACTTCTTAAAAGATGGTAGGCTATTTCTGGCAAAGTATCAGTGCTGTGGACAGCTAGGTGGCACAGTGGATAGAAAGCCAGGCCTGGAGTCAAGAATGCTCATCTTCCTGAGTTCAAATCTAGCCTTACTAGTTGTGTGACCCTGGGCAAGTCACTTAACCCTGCTTGCCTCAGGGTCTTTATCTGTAAAATGAGCTGGAGAAGGAAACGACAGGCCATTCTAGTATTTTTGCCAAGAAAACCTCAAATGGAGTCATGAAGAGTAGGACATGACTGAAAATGACTGAATCAGTCCTGTAGATGAGGGGAGGCCACAGCTAGAAGCCCAGTAACCTGGTTGATTCCAGAGGGCCTCTGTCTGCTATAGCCCCTCTCTTGCCTGTGATGTACACAGGATACTCTTCCTACTCTGATGTTTCATTTATTCAGGCATTTATTAAGTGCCAGATACTATATTAATAAGAGCTAGTGTTACAAAGAATTCGTGCTTCCAATGAGCTTACGTTCTCTTGAAGGGAAATCACGGATGCACGGGTAAGTGTAAAATATATACAAAGTAAATAGAAAGAGTCTCGAGCCTAAGGGGAAATTAGACATATCTCTTGAGGGAATGAATTGAAAATAAATGTATTAAGCCCTAATTATGTGCCACATCAATCACCAAAGCTTGAAGGGAGGAACTTTAAACCTTCCATTCCAAACACTGAAGACAACATATATAGAAAGGTAGTGGCCAGGAAGGGATATTTTGGTTTGGAAAGTTACAGGGATAATTAGGGTGAAGGAAAGAGAATAAACATTTATATAGCATCTATTATGTGCCAGGCACTGTGCTGTGTTCTACAAATATTATCTTATTTGATCCTCATAACAACCCTGAGAGGTAGATGCAGTTATTATCCCCATTTTACAGTTGAGGAAACTGAGGCAGACAACAGTTAAGTGTCTTGCCCA